TCAATATTAAGATAACTTAAAAATACTCAAAAGTTGGGGAAGAGCACAAACACGACTGTCACAAATGCTACATCTGTGTGAACTGATCATGTAGTCTGACTGGCTTCTGGGTGAAACCAACATGCTGAACGCAGAAGAGGCCGGATAGCACTTCCACTTCCACAGGGCTTCTCGGTCCCCGTGGCTTTGCACTCCTGATCAGCGCTGTGCCCGAGATGTACAGGCTCCTGAGATACCCGGCCCTCACTCGTGCTCACGACTGCAGTTTCAAAATAACTTGTAATTGGTTATTGATAGGAAATGCCATGCTCTCTGATTATGTGGAATTACCCTGAATTTAACTAGACTTCCAATTCAGGAACAAGTGGTTAGCATAAGGTCTTACATAATTTATGCATTTAGAAAATGCCAAACATCAAATAAACCAGTGATGCCCAAAGGTCTTTGATTATGAATCTCCAACATCTGTTTATTTATGTGTAAGTTATACAAACACCATTGTGATGCTATCTGTACATTATAAAACACACAATACAAATGTAGTCAGGCTGCCACTGACTGTTTTTAATTTTTTTCCTTAGACCATGTGCATGCACTCTTGAACACACACACACACACACACACACACACACACACACACACACACACACACCCCAACCCCCCCCCCTGCTCTGGACTCCACGGGGGAGCTCCCATATGGCCCAAATGGAAAATGTCAAATGTGGCGGCCAAACTGCTGTCTCCTTCCTGCTCAGTCCCACCATCTCTGACCCAGGTGACACTGCTTCCCACCCGTCACCTCATCACCTCCTGCTACCGCTCACCTGCCAACAGACAGTCGAGAAGACGCTGAAGCCAGCAGGTGCAAACAGTGTGAGAGAATCGACTCTGTTGTCAAGGTAAACCTGGATCTCCGCCTCTAACTCACCAGGTGACCCAGGCCGGACAGATAATGTCTCCAAGAGTCACTGGTAAAGGGGGTGATAACAGGATCGCTCTCACCTGGTTATTAGCATTGAGATAAGCTATTATTGAAGCACCCAGCACAGCAGCATCCATACGACACAAGTGGCCAATTAATATTTTACCCAAAATTATTATTTCAGGTGCCTAAAGAAGTCACCTGGACCTTGTCTCACTGATCGGCTCTGGAAGGAAGCAGGTTAGAGAGGAAGAAGCTCAGGGGGTGGGGTCCCGAAGATCTGGTTTGGAGGCCTGAGCCACCAAGCACCAGCGGGGTGACTCTGGGAACCCAGTTTCTCTCTGAGGGGCAGCTTTTCACCTGTTTGAGGACAGGGACGACACAAACTGCATATGAAGTACCTGTCAGCGCCGGGAAACCTGACACCGGGGGCCAGCAAATGGCAACCAATGACCAACGGTGAGGGAAAGCAAATGGCACGTAAACCCAGGTGTCATTGGGGGCCTCTGGGCCACGTTCACAGGCACAGCTGGAGAGTCGGGCTCCCGAAAGCCGACCCCCACACGTGGAGATGTGGCTGTGTGCGAAACCCACGGTGTGGACTGTTTCCAACCCCGTGCTTCACTGGCTCACATGTGACCTCCGGCAATTCACAGCATTTATACCTCCATTTTCCAGCCATAAACTAGGAGCAGACGTTTACCCACCTTCCAACTGTAAACTAGATGATGGGGGCGGGGGAGGCTCCTAAGCCAGGACTACAGAGAGGTGCTGTTTTGGCCCCAACAAAAAAGGGTGCTCTCAAACATCAGAGTACTTCCACAGACCTAATTCTTTCTATTTCAGTCTATGACCAAAAGAATGAATACGGAATACAGAGATGTATTTGTACAGACGTATTTTTTACATCATGTGCCCAGTAGGAAGGCTGCCAATGTGTAAAACATTTAAAACCTAAACTGTGTTAACATACACTTAAAACAAACAAAAACAGGCATCACTCAGAAACACCTAAAACGTACTCAGCGCGAACAAGAAAGCCCGACCCCCGACCCCCTTCTAAAAGCTTCAATCTTCAGCACAATATCCTGACATGGCAGCACATCAGGAAGAACGCCGTGTAACCAAAGTCCACGAAACGTTTGTTTAGACGAACATTATTTAAAGATACTGTTCTACATCCCCTTTACAAAATCTGAAAGAGTTTAGTCACGCAGTCCTGACTGTCCCCAGAGAAGGTGGGGCAGTAGCTGGCCCGAACTAGGGGCAACCACTGCCATGGCCCCCGCAGGGGCTCGCCGCCCCTTCAGCGAACAGCATTTCCACCTGCACGACTTTCTGTGTTTCTATCAGTCTGGACCCGGGGCTCCCTGCAACTAATGCTACCGTGACAGTATAATCCTGTTTGATACAGAGAGGTAATAAACACACCGAGAAGTAAACAGAGACAACGTTAGTGAGCCAAGTTTGGGTTTGCTAAAACAGAAAACCAGAAACCAGGCAAGAGCCACCAAAGGAACTACGTGGTGCCTCTCAATCAGATCTTCCAAAAGACGTGGGAGTGAACAGCATGCTCTCCCCCAAACTCCGGGAAACCCCGGCAGCTCCAAAGCGGGTTCCAGAACCCACAGCTCCCCAGGGGGCAGCGGGGCCAAGGGCGCAAAGGCGCGACCCCCTCTCCTGGCAGTGGCCTTCTGGAGACAAGGGTGGGGTGGGGGCGCGCGGCTCCCTTGAAGGAGGCCGGAGAAGGCGGGGGACGCGGCAGCCGGGCCACTTTCCCGGCCGTGGTCTCCCAGCCCCGGCGGCACAGCTGCTGGACAGCGCCCGCACGCCAGTGCCGCAGGCGGCCCCCATCCCGGAACTCCGGGGGCCACGCGGCGGGAGGCCGGAGCCTGGGCTCACGAGAAAGCGCCGTGGGGACGCGCGCGGTGGTACCTGTGACGGCAGCTGCTCCCGGGCTGCGGCGGCAAGGGCGCGGCCAGGCGTGCGCGCTCCCGGCCCGCGGTCCGGTGCGTTGCGCCCGCCCTTTCTCTCCCTCTCTCTCCACGAGCGCCAGGGCCCGCGCAGCTCTCCGCCCCTTCACCTCTCACCTCCTACCTTTCCCCCTCCCGCCCCATCGCCCTCCGCACGTGTTCCCCGAGGCGCGAGCATGCGCAGTCGAGCTCCGCCCCGCAGCTCCCGCCCGCCCCCTGGCGGACGCAGGCCACCTAAACCCTCGGGGCGGGAGTGCGGCAGAGGATCGCTTCAGGGCTTCTGACAGCTTCCGGAGAGAGCAACAGGCACAAGATGCCCATCGGCCCTGTTTTCTAACAGCCAGGAATTTTTAAAGCTACTGAGATACACAACAAATACAGATGAGTCGAATACATTAAAGCGAGTTTCCGTACAGCCTTTTAAAAGAATGTTTTGTGAATATTGATGTTGAAAGATGTTCACGAAAGATGTTCTGGATGATTCAAAATGAGCTGTAGAATATGCTCTCGTTTTTGTTAAAAAACAGTCCAAGGGCAAGGGTCTGGCGTGATACTGCTGTGTGGTCAGCGAATGTCTCGGGTGGAGGATTAGTTAGTGGGTGTTTTGCTTTTGCTGATGGACACAACCATTTTCTATACAGAACGTGCATTTCTTGCCATAGCTACATCCACAGAGCATCTCCTCTGTCAGGTGCTGAGTTGAGCGCTTTGCACACGTGCTCAGCTTGACTTCCTGAATCCTTCCCCACACCCAGGTAGGTCCTGTTTCTGGGTCTCAAACAAGGCAAACGGGAGGTTTTGCCCACCCTGGGGGCACTGGCCCACCCCATGATGCTGCCTGTTGTGGCTGCCTGTGGGCCCACACGTGGACACCTTGATGACGCCACCCTCGCCTTCGCCAGGTCTCAGATCTGAAGTGTCAGAGCTCTGCCCTGCTGACCCCCTGCTGTTCCCAGCACCCAACCCAGGGCTACCAGGATACAACCTACCTATAGCAGGAGCTCAAACCTGTTCCTGCTTTAAGGATGCAGCGCTAGGGCTGCATGACTGCAGGTACGCAAAAGGAAAACCACAGACCACCCTTCCGGAAGCTCCAGCTGCCTTGTCCCTCCTCTTAGGCATTCTTCAAGGTCATACACCCTCCCTCACCCCTGTGCCCTCTGGACTCTGGACTACCTACCTCTCCAAGGCTGCCAGTCTTGCCTCCCTCCCTGCCCACCACACTGTCGTCACAGTGAAACTAAACAGCAGTGGGGATGATTGGCCTGGGGCCAAAATGACTTTTAAGATTATGCTCTGTATTCAGGGGCTTTAGATGAGGACCTTAGAGAAAGATTCCTTTTTTGTGTGTTATTTTTGAGAGGCAACAGAAGAGAGAAATGGGTAGAGCCTAACCTACACCCCTTAGCCGTTTCATATCACTCTCTGTCCTTGATCCCTTGAAACACTGACACCTGACCCCTCAGAAACCCTGGGCAAAGGAGATTCACTTCTGTCACCAGCTCCTCCCTCTCTCCACTGCCTGTCCCTTTTGGCAAGTATAAAATCTACCCAGTTTTTTGTGTTTGTTTTCTGAGTGACTCTGCATGACTGAATCCCCTCTTTTTTACTGTCAAGCTCCTACAAAGAATGTGGCTCCCAGCCTACCTCGAGGCAGGATCGTCAGGGGAAATTCAGTGAGTCAGGGCCTTCCTGAGCCCTATCCTAGGCCCAGCGAACCAAAGCCTTACTCTCCAGAGCAAGCCCATCTTTTCCCATCTCCCCCAGCAGGGACTTGTCCAGACCATCTTTTGGGCTCTGCTGTCACAGGCCACTCACCACCGCTGCCCTCCCAACCACTCCACCAACCTGTGTTTGCAGGGCACCGACCCCCAGCGAGGTCTGGCCACTTTCCTCCAAAAAACACAACGGCCTCTGCACCTCGCAGCATAGCTGAGAGTCCTCCACTCTGCAGGAGGAGAAAGACAGAGGCCCTGGTTGGGGGTGGGAGAGCTGAGGCTCAGGGGCCCTGGTACAGAATGCTGCCCATGAGTAGAATGAAATGGTCATGAACTTGGGGCTTCTTCCCAACATTTTATTATGAAAACACAGGGAGCAGCTGAAAGAACCATATGGTTAACTATACATCCTAGGTTCTATAACTGTTAATGTTTTGCTTAGTGAATTATTACCTATTGTTAAAAGTCTCTTCATCCACCTATGAATACATTTTATTTGTTATGCATTCCAGGTAAGTTGCAAATACCTGATCTTATCTTTAAATATAATTCAGGTGGAACAGCTCCATTTAGCCCTAATCAGAATTAAACCAAAGACATTCAGGGTTGAAAGTTTTTCTGAAAGGATTACAGACCCATATGCTAGCCAGAAAAGGACCAGGCCCTGGGGATTAACCACCCGGGTTTAGACTTCAGGGCTGGATGAGGAAAGCCACGAGTCTGCAGTTCTGGCATTGATGGGCTCTTTTATGCAAACAACCGGAGAAATTGTTTTGGGTTTGTGGATAAAGGGGTGGGGGAATGGAGCCAGGCTGGCTCTGGGGTAGGTGGAGTCCCTGAGGAAGTATCTGCTCATTGGAATTGGTTGTGGGCGACCTGGAAACAGCCTGGAAAGTTCATGAGTTGGCAAGAACGGGGGTGGGGTAGGGGGGTGCTGGCTAGTCTCTCTAGATAATTGGGAAGCAGTCCCCTGGATGTTAATTCAACATGCTCCCGGGAATGTAAACAGCCTGCTGGTGTGCCTTCCAGTCGGTCACTGACTGACCTCTCATCTCTTCCTCCCACCCCCCAGCCTGCTGTCATTTAGGACATCTCGGAATTCTTTTTACCACTAGTAAAGCTCAACCTTACTGCAAATTCCTCACCATGGGAGTGGTGTTCAAAAACTAAAAATGAGATGGAGTTTAAAGGCTGTCAAGAAACGGTAACTCCCTATTCTTAAGCTTCTACACAGAGCCAGTCCTCATGAAAATCTTGAAAGACAAGGGCTGGATGTTCCACAGATGAAATCTTCCTCGAGAGGGCAGATTTGCCCAAGGTCCCTCGAAACTGATGAGGTGGCCACAGTCAGGGACACAGGACTCTGCTCCAACCCACCGCACAGGCACCTGAGTAGGGTCTGGGCACACAGATGGGCACTTGGGCCTGTCTTTGCCGTCGCTTGCACTGGTGGTCAGGCTAACCATGAGTTAAGCTCTGGTGCAGCAGCTGGCAAGGTGATGGAGTGGCAAGTGGGGCTTCGGCGCGGCCCCTCTCCGAGCTGAACCCCGGCTGACCCGCAGCAGCAGGGGCTGCTCTGTGGCCAGGAAACTCACCTCAACCCCAGGGAGCCTTGACCTGGGAGTCAGGTACAAAGAAGTGACCAAGGACACAGACCTCTGTGGTTTTCAGGGAAAAAAACTAAATCCATGTGAACTGGTGTTAAAAAAAAAAAGCCTAGATCCCAATAAACAGCCAAATGACCATGACACAGTCACTAAAAATATTGAAAATCTCCAAGTTGTATTGATACTATTCAATGCCTTTATGACCTACTAAGTTCCTACCACGTGTCAAGACACCTAGTATAGGTGAAGGTCATTCCCTGCACTTACAGAAGCCGTCAGTGCACACCTTTACACAAAACCCCACGTTATCACACGTCATACTAGCAGCCACTAGTAAGAATGGTTGACTGCTGGCTCCTTGCCAGACTGGCTGCATTCCTCATATGATCCTCATGAGGGCCTTTAGAGGAGGCAAGATAATCCCCATTTTATTTTAATTTTACTAATTGATTGGAGAGAGGGAGAGAAGCACCAATCTGTCGTTCCACTAATTTACGCATTTATTGTTGCTTTTTTTATGTGCCCCATGTCAAAGACTAAAAATGCAAAAAGTTAGAGTTAAAAAAACTGAGACTCCTCTAGTCACTGCAAAGCAGTGTTTCGGCTTTCCATTCTATTTATTTAAAAATCAAATCCACTGTGCTGTAACTCATACACTTTAAGGCAGGGGTGTCCGGCCTGCGGCCTCTGGGCCGCATGCAGCCCGGGGTGGCTGTGAAAGCCGTCCCACACAAATGTGCAAAGTTACTTAAAACTCTAGATTTTTTTTGTGATTATGTGTTGCGGTTTATTTAATGTGTGGCCCAAGACAACTGTTCTTCCAGTGTGGCACAGAGAGGCCAGAGGCTGGACACCCCTGGCGCCCACTCCGAGGTGACCCTGACCGAGGGGCTGAGTGTGGCCAGCTGGTACCTCCCAGATGACCGGGCAAAGCGCACCTCCCGTGGTCTTCACAGGGGAGGGGCCCCAGCCCCTTGCCAAGGCCCATCCTGCCTGGTGGCAAGAACACTGCTTACACCCTCACCAAGGCCAGCAAACCCAGGCCCTACGTGGGGCCCCAGGTGACCACCGCCAGGGTGCCAGGCCCTTGGTGGCCAGGCCTCCTCAGTATATGGGCCAGGACCCACGGAACCAGGAGGAGCTGAAGCTGAGAACTGGGTGGGCGGGGGGCCTGCCTCCCCTTCCGTGAGGGTCGGCCAGCTGGTGCAGGCCCCTGCCCTGCTCTATGGCCTCGAGCGTCCACAGCTGTCTAAGCTGCTCTCCTCGCTGGACCAAGGGGGAAACACCTTTGAGAGACAAAGGTGAAAATTAAATGAGCCAATCCACAGGAAGCCACAAAGTGGGAACTCACTTTACCCCAGCCATGGTTACCCTACCTGACCCCTAGGACGCCTGCCACCCAGGACTGCCCCTGGCTGGCACATTCATACCCGCCCTGGCTCTAAGGCACAACCACCAGCAGCGGGCAGCTGGGCTCGGGCACGTTTACAGGGAGGGCTCCGAAGGGCCCCCTGCCCGGTCCAATGCCTCTCTCAGCAGAGGTGGGGCCTCGGATTCCTCGTGTGCTTTCTGAACAAGGCCCGGGACAGAGGCACCCGTCACAACACCGCCCGGCCGTCCCTGGTCACAGGCCGGCCTGAAACACGGCTACGAAGGCGTGAAGACGCATCCTGCTCGCGTGCTTCGTCCTCCACGTCCGACGCAGCCCAGGGCAGCGTCGTCTGCCCCCTGGTGCTCACAGGACGGCCGGAGACATTCCTTTGGCGAAAAAGGACACGTTCTTGTCCTGTATCTTGTACTGGAAAGTGAGGCTCCGGTCCCGCTGGGTGGTGGGCTGCGATGGTCCCCGCCACAGGATCCTCAGCTGTGGAGAAGAGCGGGAAAGGAGGCCCCCCGGGCTCCAGGACCTGCTCCACTGCGAGGGCTCCCTGACTCCTCCGTGACCTTAACCGGGGCCTCCCTGAGGCCACCGTTGCACACGCCAGGCAGTGATGGGACAGACTCCCCAAACAAAGCCATTACAGCTCACTAACAATAAAGGTTCCCCTCCGTCACGACAGTGATACCACTTCATCACAGGACAACAAGTGTCACCAGAGGAAAACATCAGGGTAGTTCATGTGTCCTCCCATGCTCCTGTCACCACATACGTGGCTCAGTACTTGCTGGCTGCATTGGTTTTGTAAATCAACACCTTAGAATTTGCATCCAGTTCAGAGCCCAGGAAGGACGGGCACCTGGGGGACACCTCGGCTGACCAGGAGGCTCCGGGGCACCGGGGCCTCGCCGCCAGGCCACGGGCTGCCCGCAGAGCCTTACTCTCCAGTGCTGTACCTCAGGCACCCCCACAGCACCTCTGTGCTGCTTTATTTCCACACTGGCCCCTGAATGACTCTGGGCCAAATCCCATCCACCCTTAACGGGTCAAGAGTGGTTCACATGAAGTTCACCTGGAAGCTGTGGGGGTACTTTGGGGTGATTTCAAAAAAGAAGTTTTGGGAGGCAGAGAACCACGGCAGCCCGTGGCAGGGGGACAACCTGGCCTCCCGCCAGGGCAGGCTGCACCCCGCCTGCCGTTGCTCCCAGCACTGTGGAGGGCACCAGTGGGGTGGGGGCAACCCTAAGTCTCGATTTTAAAAGGAACAGGGTGGACCTGAATAGACAAAGCACACTGCCATCCTGCCAGGGAATTCTGCCGTTTAACAGTGGGGCCCTGCATTCCACCCGGGACAGCTGTCTCCACTTTGGTCACCCACGGGCCCCTGTGGAAAACCCACACTGGCGCCTGGGGCTAAGCAGCCTCTGGGCCGACTCCGACTTGCACTCCCACAACTTCTGAGCAGAAGGGGCTCCCCAAGCAGACGAGCCCTCGGCCCAGCACTACCCCAGGACACCCCTACGTGAGTCTGGACTTGGGCACCGACATGAGCAGCAGGATCCTGGCCCCCACCCTGCGCACCTGCCCATGCACGTCCCTGCAGAAGCCGGTGGCCAAACCTTCGGCCCGCAGGATCAAGTGGCTCTGGTGACTGAGGCCATTCAACAGCATGTCACTCTCTTCGTCCTCAGCATCTCCGCTGTCGTGTACAAGGGCCACTATGTTTCCCTGCAGCAGAGACACAGGGTAGAAACCAGCCCCTGACTGGGACACGGGATTGGCCTCCCCGCCGCCGCCGCACCCTCCCCTTTGTGGGGAGGGCCTTGCCTGGGCTCCATCACCACTGGACACGTGACACCAGCACATCCGACCTGGACTTCCAGCTCAAGCCATCTAAAGCCAGGCTCGGCCCGTGGTCCCCCTAACGTTACTGAGAAGTGCGGCCATCCTGTAGGTGCCGACTCACCCGCCCAAGGAGGATGCTATGAATAAGCAGTCCTTTCATGAGGCTCCTTCCCAGTTGTTGAGAAGAATGAAGGGGGTCTCTGTGGTCTGTTATGGGGCAATGGCCACCAAAATGGACTGTGTGTCAGGAAATGAAAAATTCTGCCCCCACATAGCCCAGGTCACCGTACAGCGCAGCAAACCACAGGGACCCAGCACACACGCAGCACGGTCACAGCTGCAGTCTTTTTACACTGTTTACTTCTTCCTTCTTTCTAAAACTACCCCAAGTTTTACCATTCCAACCAAAAGGAATGTTTTCCCAAAAGGAGGATGGTCATGGGCCACAGAGCAAGCTGAGCTCAGGTGGCCCATTTACCCCCACCTGCCCCGGCGTTGAACTTGTCCTTCAGGCCTCCCCGTGCTCACCACAGCTCCCTGGCTCCTGGCCCTGTGACGACAGCTGCAGAGGCTCCCTAGACAGAGTCCGGGGGCGCCCGCCTCTCACGCAGCAGGAACGCAGCAGGAACACCGCCAGGTGAACGCGCCCGGCTGACCCAGCCGGACCATACCACGCCGGTGTCTGTGGCCCCTACCTGCCACCCTGTCACTGAGGAGCGGCCACGGTGGCCAGACTCCGTAGGCATCACCGGCTTCCTCTCACTTACCTCTGGTGGTCGGGTTTCTGGGAGGCAGACACCATAGCCGCTTCTGCTTAGGCTGGCCTCCTCTTACAGATAAAACCTCTACCGTGGGCAATCTCTATTTCTATCTAGTGATTTGACAATAAGGTACAACCTATACTGATATTACATCTCATTATCTCAACCCATCTTCTAAACACACCAGAGGGACAATGACTTGCCCCAGAAAACACAGGTGGCCCGTCACAGGCCCTGCTCGCCGTCCCCCTCGCTCTGAGGGCCCGATTTTCTAGCAACGGCGAACGGGGGGAGCAGGGTGGGTAGACCAAAAGGTTTCAGAGCCTGCCAGAGTAGGGCTCCAACCCCACACAAGCAGACACCACTGCACGCCAATGAGGCCGGGCCGGTCCGGGCCGCAGTGGTCCCAGGTGGGGGCCCGAGCCCGACGCCTGGTACCTGCAGCGAGCAGCACACGGCCACCCGGCAGTAGTGGATGAAGTCCAGCACGGCCACCGCCCTGACGCCCAGGCCCAGCAGCACGCTGAGGTCGTCCACCAGCAGCACCGGGCTCCTCCAGGCAGCCTCCCCACGGTCCACGGGCTTCAGGGCCTCCCGCACAAACTCGTACAGCGGCTGCAGGTTTCCGGCGTTGGCCTCCCTGGGACACAGGGCGGAAGTCACCGGACAGTTCACTCTCTCTACAGATGTTTCTCTTGGATGGCGCAGCATCACAGGGAAGGGCTTGGGGGGGGGGCAAAGAACTGCATCACAGTCCCCGGCTCCAGGGGGCTCACGATTGGTGGGCCAACAGAGGCAGGTGCACGTGCGTAAGGGGCACTGCAATTCAAGTGCTCTTTGTGCCCCAGCGGGCACCCAGCACTGTCCCACACACTGGGGACACAAAAGCAAGCAGCTTCCCAGGCCCATAAGGGACAGCCTCTCAGTGGAAGAGCGTAAGGTACCTGGAAGATTGATTTGGAGAGGCAGGCGGAAGAAGCCTTCCCAGGAGGTCGTCAGTAGGCATAAAAAGCTAAACAGCGACACAGTATCTGGGGGTGAGGGACCCCGGGGTGAGGGCTGCTGGCGAGCATGACAGACGCTGCCTGTTTCTGAGCTGGTGCACATGCCTCCATCCCCCCGTGACTGCCCTTGGCGGCTGCTTTCCAGAAATGGACACAGGCTCAAAGGTACCTCAGGGTCCAGGGCTGAGCGCCCCAACAGCCCCGTCAAGGATGACGACCGCCCAGCACCGGGGGTCCTTCTGGCTCCTCACAGCCGCCCGGCCACCACACCGAGCTGAGCCCGACAGAGGGCCCAAGGGACGGCTCCTGCACGCACCCCTCCGGGTGGAGGAAGCCAGCAGCCAGGTGGGGAGTTTGCTCAGAGCTACGTCTGTGGCTCAGCTCAGAGAGAATGAGAAGCAGGAAGGCCGACCTCAGAAAGCAAACTGGCAGTCAGCACACGTTCTGTTAAAGGGCCGACAGCGAGCGCAGTGTCTCAGGCTGGTGGCTCCCATGTTCTCCGCCTCCACAGCTCCGCTCTGCTGTCACAGTGCAGAACAGCCAGGGGCGATACGTGAACAATGAATGTGGCCACGCCAATCAAACTCTGCTTACAAACACAGGTAGCTGGTGGCCCTTGGCCTGTAGGTGGCTGACCCCCGTATCAAGCTAAGAACAGAATACAGAGCTGTGCTAGGGCTCTGAGCCAGGGTGGGGAAACCAGCAGAGCGTACTGTTCCTCGGTATTCTCAGCAGGTAACGCTCCCAACAGCTTTGGGACAGCGGTCCACCCTCTGGCCCACGGTCAGAGCCAAGGGCTGTCCAGGAATGCTGCAACCCCAAACAGGTCTGACCCCGAGGCCAGCTCTGGCCTCCCTCCCACACAGGACCCAGCTGGCCCACCTGCCCGGAGAGCACTTCCCGGCCAGGCTGCAGGCTGACTGACCTGAGGAAGCACAGGGGGTGCGGCGCCCCCTCAGCCCGCAGGAAGATGTCCACCGATGACTTGAGACCCTCAAGGACCACAAGCTGCCCCCGCTCCCGTGCCGCAGTCAGGCTGACACCCTAGACACGGCAGAGAGGACAGCGAGTTACCGCCCCTCGAAGGGGGGCCATCAAGGCTCGACTGCAGCTCGGAGGGCACAGGACACATTCCAAACCCCGCGAGTGTGGCCTGGCCACCCGCCCTGCAGGTGGGGCTGTGACTTCTTTCCTCGGGGCGTCCCCAACCCACAAGTCCCATTCTGTTTTCGAATATGTATTTACATTTGACTATCATTTTCTAAAAAAAATTCACCCTTTATTTATATATTTATTTTATGATTACCTAGCACAGATTTTAACTTACAGTAGTAGTACGGTTTCTTTTCAAATGCAGGTATTTTTTTTTTGAGAGAGAGAACCGTGTTGCTCCACTTATCTGTACATTCATTGGTTGATTCTTTTATGTGTCCTAACTGGGGACCAAACCTGAAACCTTGGTGCTACAGGATGGCGCGCTAACCAACTAGGCTACCTAGCCAGAGCTTAAACGCTTGTGTTTATAAAATTGAGCACACACTTAAAAACAGGAAGTGAATAACAGTAAGAGGGTAGGGCAATGACAGTCTCTGTTGCAACCACTCGACTCTGCTATTGTGGAGGGAAAGCAGCCATAGACAATTTATAAACACAGGGGTGTGGCTGTGTTCCAATAAAACTTTATTTACAAGACACAGGGGGTGCAAGCTGGAATTTGTCAACCCTTGCACGAACCAGAGCTTCTTAAATATGGTTCTTCTTGAACCACACAATTACAAATCTCTTGACACACCTGATTGAAACGCAGATCCCTGAGTCCACTCCAGACCTCCAGAACCAGAGATCTGGGGGTGACCCCAAGAGTCTGCATTTCAGCAAACAACGAGGGACAGTGACACAACTGAAGTGTGCAGCCACCCGTCTGTCTGTGCCCCAGACCAGGTCCCCCTTGCTCTCCCTCCCACTAGTGTCCTCCACAACACAACACCAGTCGCTCCCACAGCCATGCCCGGCACAGAGAGAGACTCCCGATCACCACCTCCACTCTTGCTCATTGCCATTCTACTCATGAAAGCATCACAATTCACGGAGAGTGTGCGGAAGTGCACAGAGTACGACGCTCACTCTAGTACTCTGAGAGCCCTACCCCTGCCACGTGAAGGGTGATTCCAAGGTAACAGGAGAAAAGCAGCCAATCTGGACGTGAGAGCACACAGCTTTCTGGTCCAGAAACACCGATGCGAAGGCCACAGAGAGACATGCCACAAAGGCCACTTGCGGTCCTGACACGACTGCCCTCCCCGCACTCACGCTGACCCCAGCGCAGGAATCTCCTCTTTGTCTGCAGAGGAGGAGAAAGAACCCACCCTTCTCTCACCTCCCACTGGTTTCTCTGCATCAAAAAAGAGGCAGTGACTTGGCCTTGCAGTAGGACTGGTATTTCAAAGGTCACTGCTGATGGGAGACCAGTTCTCTCCCTCACTAAGCTGGTCCACTGAAGCAAAAACAAAAACCTCAGCAAGCCCACCTGGTCACAGGCAGTGGCCCAGGCAAGGCCAGGAGTTTCACCAGCCTCTTGGCTATCCCATTCGACCTGCCCTTATCTGATGATGAGGTGAAGGTGATGAAAGTACCTCTCCTCACATCTGGGTCCCAAGCCGTAGACTGAGGGAGACACAGAGGGGGCCACTCACTTGGTGGCAGCCCAAGCTGTGATCTCCAACCCAGGAGGACCAAGGTCAAAGCCATGATGAAAATGAGAAAACCTTAACTGGTCCAGAATCAGTAGAGACGGGTTTGATTAATTAACAACGAAGCTGGTTCTGTAAGCTCTCAATTAACAAAACACAAGGAGATGCTGCCTAACCCCTTCAGAGAAAGGGTCCAGGATCCCACGATTCCCTCCGTCCCTCCCTTGCTAAGTTCTCTACAACCCAAGTACGGGAGCCCGGCCTGAGAGCACACGCATGTGTGCATGACACACTCACTCGCTCGCTCACTCGGGACCTCCGCCCAGAAGTCTGAAGTACTCACCAGCTTCTGTCCCACAACATTGTAGTGACTGAAGGACTGGACAAGTGCCACAAAACAGACTTTACAATTAGCTGGAAAACAGAATAAACGGATTTGGATACTCTATTTATAATCCATCTCGTATATTTCACACCTCTGGAAACAAAAGCATCGCAGCCCAGGTCTTACCACCCAGTACACCCGACTAGATTCTAAGATGCAATCTGGGGAGGGGGGGGTGTTTGTTTTTAAGATTTTTATTTATTCTGAGATGGAAAGGGAGGGAGGAAGAGGGAGAGAAACACTGATGTGTCAGAGATACATCAACTGGTTGCCTCTTGCACGTCCCCAACTGGGGACTGGCCTGTAACCCAGGCATGTGCCCTGACTAGGAATCGAACCAGTGACACTGCCCCCCACCCCCGTTCAAAGGCTGGTACTCAATCCACTGAGCCACACCAGCCAGGGCTACAGTTAATTTTTAAAATTGGTCCTATATCCAAGAGGATATAAAGGAAACACAAAGAAGCTCTAACTACCTTACTAAACATAATTAATTCTAATAATGTATCTGTTGATTCTCTTGCTCTTTCTATGCTGATAATAACATCACCTACAAAAGAAAATAACTTTTAAAGTTGTAAATTATTGTGACTAACAGTGGCAAAGGTCACCCTCTGTCCTGGCCTGGCTCAGCAGGGCTTCAGGGAGAATAAACAGATACATGAGTCTTTTTCTTTTTCTTTTCCATTTAGCTGTTTTCCTCTCCTAAGCTACTTCCATAGGTAAACTATAGCGGCCACGCAGTTTTCTTCCCTGCTTCTTCAGGAAGCACCTCCTGCCAGGGCCAAGTGTCAATGGGTCAAGTGGCCAGAGATCTCAAGATACGCAAGGGCCGAGGAGCAAGCAAACAGGAGGCCACAGAGGCAGCAGAACCGGCTGGGTGGGTGGAGGAGGGGAAGGGAGGATGGGGAGCAAGGACTGGACAGGGCTGGGCAGGACTGGGCAGTTACCTAATAAACCCCAAACTCCCAACTGGTTAATACTATTCCCATCACTTCCTAAAACAGGCGGGTTTATTTTTTCCTTGCCTTAGGTTTATTTTTCTGTAGCATCGACGAGTCCCATACCTTTGAGGTAGAAGGAGAGAAAGTGGTGCACAAGGAAACTGCCATCTGTCTTGGCATCACACAGTAGGGTCAGTTTCCCCTAAAAGCCACGAGGAACACAAATAGGTGAGTCAGACTCCCTGGAAAGAGGTCAGCTGACAGTGTAAATCTGGTGAACTGTGCCCAGCCCAATGTTTTGACACCTGAAGAGTATGTATGTATATATGTGTGTGCACACATATATAAATATATACACAAATACACTAAGATTACTAAAAAAAGAAGCCAAAATTAGGGAAAACCCCAAAATTAAAGTGATCAGTATTAAGTCACTCATTATGGGCAAACATCTGATCCAGTTTCCTCCCTATTTCTAATTCCGATGTCAGTTCGGTCCTCTAGGGTAGGAAAGAGGGAAGAAGGGGTTGCTGACAGAGACGACAGTGACGAAGTCCTCCTCCAAATGGCCCTTCAGGCAGAGCTCTGACCACTCTGATAATGCAGCCAGCCCCCTGGAAAGACCTCCAAAAACCGGCTCTGCATGCCTGGCTGCCCTGATCTAACCACCTCCAGCTTCCTGTCAGTGAACGGGGAAGGTCGAGATCAAGTGGTGTTCTGTGCTGTTGTGATTGCTTCCACTGATAAAACATAAAAGATCACACTATCAGAACTTGAGGGTTACTCCCCGGATGTCATTTCCTGGTGCCCACTTTGATCCTCCATTCCCTCACTCTGGCCCTGGGCTGAGGATTTTGGTGCTGCCAAGTAATTAATTGGTAAGGTAGCTAGCGCCACCTGCAGGCTCGGGCGGGTAAGAACTGCTGGGCAACTATAAAATCCACAAGGATGCATTGAAAGCTACAATTTGCCTGGCACTACGGGCTTTTGGACATGATATCTCGACTGCCTGGAGGAGTTTATTATTTCGTTAGGAAGACAAAGGTTATGAAATAAAGCATATACGTTCCTAGGGGAAGTAAACCCTGGGCTAAAATGTGAAAAATTTCCAGGTGTCCCAGAGTGCGGAAAGAAGAGTGGAGAAAATAGAGTGGTGCCAAAGGTGAACTCGGCAAAAAGCAACGTTGGCTGAGAGCAGCTTGGAAAAGCACTATTCGACACCATGAGGTGTCACTGGCGTTCACCGCGACCTGCCGAGCGCTCCCAGGCCAGGGGGGAGACTCACGGCGGTTAAGAAGCTGTGAAGAGTGGAAAATCAAACTCTGCTCTCCTCTCAGACAACCTCCTCTGGGGGCCAGGACCCCCACTGCAGTGAGCAGGCACAGGGCTCCAGGGTACACATTTGTGAATGAAAGCCGACTCACAACTCTGGCATGGTTCCTAGGAACTTTCGAGGACACACAGGCCTTCGAGAAGACGTGAGATAGTCCAAAAGCCCACCTTCCGCAGATCCTAATGTCCAGCCCAAGCCCTGGGTCTTCCCTCCCTGGACTACAACTCCCAGCCACAGTCATGCCTACGGACGTCAAGTCTTTCTCACAGGCCCGCGTGCACTTCATTCGGCAACGTGTTCCTCCGCCACGCTCCAGGCGCCCGCCCGCGCGGCTAATTACCTGCTCCACTCTGTCAGGGCTGGTATTGAGAAGGTTATTGAGTTCTGGGAACATTCCGAGCACCGGAGACGAGCGTTCTAGACAAGGAACTAAAACTGCTGTGGAGACGAAGCAGCACGGAGGGTTACACACAGCACTCAAGTTCACGGGGGCGCGCGCGCAACCTCGCTTCTGAGCGCCACCGCAGCCAATCAGGGGATGGTTCCACCTGGCCGCGCCGGCGCACGCACGATGACGCATTTCCGGCTGCTGTTTTCCGGAGCGCTCGGCCGGGCGGCTCCCTATGGCCGCAAAAAGTTTGGTTCCTACGCTGTGGATCTGCAGCATTTGAATCGTCGCGGTGCCACACTTTAACGTTCCGTGCAATCGTATCTCTTCTTCGTTCCCAGCTTCCGGCAGTCCTGTCCGTTCCTACACGCGTACCCGTCGAGCTCGTGCAGTGTGTCCCACAGCTACAGAAGCTTGGGCTGCATTGGTGAACCAGAGGGGCCAAGATGCGTGCCCTTACACAAAGCAGAAAACATGATAAACATGGAAATACATATTGAAAAGTTCAATGGAGTAGGAGTAGGATTCAGGATTAAAGAGGTTGTCAAGGAGACACACTAAGACAATGTGATTGAAGCACACCCTGTGTGCCCTTCCTTGCACTAACTGTTACCCCTTTCTGGAAAGCTCTGTTTCCCAGATACTTAGCTAATGGAAAAACCCCTCACATCCTTCAAGACTTTGCTTAGATGTCGCTTTATTAGCGAAGCCTTTCCTGAGCATCTTATTTAAATCACAGACCTCTTCCTCAACTCTCCTTTTTAAAAAATTTTGTTATTTATTATTACATTTCTTCCCCCTAACACTTCTTATTCTTTTCCCGTTTTTATTGTTCCCATAGGATTTTTATCTAGTACACCAAGGATGTCAAACTCATTTCCGGGGGGGGGGGGGCACATCAGATTCATGGTTGCCTTCAAAGGGCAGAATATAATTTTAGGACTATACATGTAACTACTTCTTAACTAGGGACAAGGAGCTTGGCGCTGCCTCCAGGTAGAAACAAGGTGCCGGGCAGGATGAAACAAGATGGAGGGCTAGATTGGGCCTTCGGGACCTTGGGTTTGCCACCTGTGTCGTAGAGCATATATGTAGTTTTGTTCCAGCCCAGTCAGCCTCAGATCCTTTCTCTTTGAAGTCAGTTTTTAAATGTAAAATAATGACGATGACTCAAAAAAAGGCAGTCTATGGATTATCTTAGTATGGACCGAAATTTAACAAACTTTTTCTCTATTCTTTGAGCTCACCGAATCTTCTTTCAGAAAGTCTTCCTTACCCCAAATGTCATACAGATAGTCCAGATTTTCTCCAAGTGTTGTCAGATTTTCCCTTTCCCATGTAAGCCTTTAGTCCATCTGTGATTGACTTGTGTGTGAACTAAGGGATACAGATCAATGTATTCCTTTTTGGAACTAGCATATTTCATTTAACCTGGCTATAATTTAATTGGTATTGTATTGAGTCTTTAGATTGAGGAAGGTAGGCATCCTTTAAATATAAAATATTGACTCTCTGTGTATCCATTTTCCTATCAATGCTGATGGGTCAGTTTAGTTTTGTCCTACCACAGAGGACATCCCATCAGCACACATAGCCATGCCGTTCAGTACAGATGTGCAAGAGGTTCTCTAGGTATGTATCTGGAGTGGAATTGTGGGGTCACAGGCAAAGACGAATTTGCCATGAGTCTAATAAAGCTAATTTTTATTTATAACGTTGTACTACTTTCCTTAAAGAGAATCTCTCTTTGCCTTTGTATAAGCCTCAGATCCTCAAATACCTGAATTTTGCCCTCGTCCTAAAGCAGTCCAGTGCAGAGAAAGGAAAATCAAACAGAAGGTTTTGATGCAGGAAATTGAGTCAAAGGGTGTTGGTAGGACTGGAAGAACAAAAGGGAGAAGGCGATTGTACATGGCAGTTAGGAAGCAGGGACTTGGGGCTGCAAGCCTGCAGAGTACGCCTGCCAGACTGCTCCCCGCGGGCTCCCCACTATTTTCCTGCCAGGGAAACACTGGCAGTAGACTGGAAGGCAGGAAGAAGGAAGAATCCATTCTGTTTCTGCTTCCGGCGGCGTCCGCATCCGTGAGTGGCTGGGCTGCGGAGGTGCCGGGGAGTTTCAGCAGCAGAAGCGCGGCAGTGCAGGCTTCAACTGCAGCAAAGGCAGCACCGATGCTTCCAGGGACTGCACGCCTCTCAGCGTCCCCGCTGTGTCCATTCTTCTCACACCCTCCCTGCACCGGACAGCCAGCTCCCCGTTCCATTTTCTTTCCAAGAGTTGGGCCTTAGAGTTCCATTTCCTTCCCTCCCCAGCAGGAACTGTGCCCTGGAGCTCAGAGCCGGCTGGCAAGCTGCTGTGTCTTCACCTCGTTCTCCTTCTGGAGACAGCTCTATCTCTAACGCACCCTCCCAGCACCAACGCACCCTGCTTCTCCTACTTCCGGGGCTGGTGTCCATGGCTGCTGGCAAACCTCACCTGGCCCTACTCCAAACACTGTTGCATCATAGTTTCCCTTTGCCTTCCTCTCTCTAACTCGATTAACTTTTCTTCAACTGCTGTCTAATACCTCCTCCATATGAGACAAGAGAGGTCTATAGTAGCCCCAAGTTGAAGGTGAATCCACAAAACCAAAAGACCCCAGCAAAAACAAAAACAAAAAAACACTGGAAGCAGGTTTGGGTAATCTCCAGTATACCCACCAGAGGGCAGCAGGCACCAGTGAACGCTGCCCAGTTAATCCGCCCTGGTGTTCATTAGACACTGGCAAGGCGGCATTTGGCCAGGATCCCGCTGGCTGACAGTCCTTAGCTCCCCTGTCTGGAAGCCCAGCAGTGGACTCCCCATGGGCTCTTCTGTTCCCGAGTCTGCCTCCCCCAGGAAATTTGCCAGCGCCCTCCCTCCTCCATAGCTCCTTTCTCCTCAGAGTAAAAGCTGGAGTCCTCACGTGGCCTCAGCAATCTGGCCCGCTGCTGCTCTCCTGCTCACCCTCCCTCAGCCCCTTTGGGCTCCTTGCTGCTCCTCGAGGCTTCAGTTGCAACCACACTTTGTGTGTCTGTAAAATGCTCACTCCTTGGAACTCCAAGTCTTTGCTCGGTGAGACTTCCCTGAGCATGTCTCACGAGGTGGACACAGAGTTGCACCACCCAGGCCCCCTTTCCAGAGGGTCCAAAGGAAGAGCAATCAATCACCAGACAACCTCCAGCTCTGTTCCCCGGGGTCCCCCTTGCTGCCTAGAGCCTTCCCTGAGGTCACATGCCCCAGGACATCTGGTGGCCGAGTAAAGCAGGGGCCGCAGGGCCTGGCGGCTTCTGCTCTAGGCCGGACACGCCAGCTGCCGCTCCTGCTCCAGAACTCCCCACCAAGGCTTTGCTGGACCTGCGTCTCAGCTCAAGTTCTGCCCCTGCTTCATCCCACTTCCTCCCCCTTCCTTTCACAGGCCTTGACCCTGAACTCTACCCTGGCCTATGCTTCCAGAGGACCTAACCAACCATCCCTACCCATCGCCCTCCGGCTTCATTTTCCTCTGCAGAATTGTCAACACCTAGTGCACACTCCAGTTTGCTTTCCCACGGCCTCTCCTCACTAGCATGTAGCCCAGACGAGGGCGGAGATTTTGCCTCTTTTCTTCATAAATGTGCCCCCAGCACCTATAAGAGCGCCTGTGGTACAGCAGGCGCTAAGTAAATGTGATGGATGAATGAGTGAGCAATGAGTGAGTGAGTGAGACATGGACTGTGGGAAGTTCCATGTAGCTGGGGAAAGATGTGTTTTCAAGAAGGCTCGAACGGAGGAGGGAGGAGCGTCCTTAGCCTGGCTTCCCCAGACGCTGAGCCAAGATGAGGTCACTTACTGGGAAGAGAACCCTGGAGCACAGTGGGAGACGGAGGTGGTGAGGCCTGGGCAGGCGTGAGCTGTTGAGGGGCAGGAAAACTATGCCGAGGCCCTTCCAGAACAGCGCACCTGCAGGATCCATCACTGGGACATTTTTCTGTGGGCTGCCTCTCTCTAGGGAAGGGTCAGTGGGAGTGTGGGTTGCCTGTGCCCCAGAGCGTCTGCTGAGCCTGCCCCACTGGATGATAGAGGGGCCTCGGGACACAGGAGGCTCTGCTTGGCTGAGAGGCTGCGCGCACACAGGGAGTGAAAGCTGGGGAGTCTGAGGTGCTGTGGCACGCTGACAAGGAGGTGGGAGTGATGCCATCGGCATGAGGTTTAGACAGGTCATGGAAGCCACAGCGCCGGCCACACTAGAAAGGGTGGGGCAGGTGGCCCGAAGGGGCTGAACCAGGCCTGGCAGTGGGGATGGGAGAGGAGAAATCTCACAAACCACATGGGCTGCAGAAGTGACGAGACTCTGGGGCAGGGGTGAAGGATTAAAAGTGGAAGGGAAGTGTCAACACCGACACGGGAAGGGGATGGGGGTCAGGTTGGGGCTGTGTGGAATGTGTTTGAGGCCCCGGGGACATGTCCTGTGGCCCCACGAGGGACGGAAACTAGCTGGGCAAGGATCGCTGCTCCATGAGGGAGGAAGGGCCATCTGTCTAGGAGTCCCCTGGGTCTTCCCTAAGGCCCCAGAGAAGCCTTGAAGGCCCCCTGTAGCCCCAGGAGGCTGGCTGCGCTCGGGTGTGACTCCCCAGAGGTGCTTTACGGGAAGGTTCACTCCTGGTGTACATTCTAGAGGTTTTGACAAACGTGTAACGACAAGGATCCGCCACAATAACATCCTAACAGAATCGTCCCCCTGCCCTAAAAATCCCCTGTGCTCCATCTATAATCCCTCCCTTTCTCCTGACCCTTGGCCGCCACGGATCTTCTCGCTGGTTCCGTGGTGTTGCTTTTCCAGAATGGCATACAGTTGGACTCGCACAGTCTGTAGCCTTTTCAGATTGGCTTCTTTCACTTAGTGATACACAGCAAAGGCTCTCCTGTGTCCTTTCGTGGCTCGATAGCTCATTTCTTCTTCTCACTGAGGCACATCCCATTGTCTGGAGGTGCCGCCGTTTACTTACCCACCCACCCACTAAAGGACATCTCAGTGGCTTCCAAGTTTCGGCACTTCTGAACAAAGCTGCTACAAACGCCTGCGTGCAGGTTTTGGTGTAGACACGGGGTTTTCTCTCCTCTTGCCAGGTTACTTGGCTAGAGCATGGTTGGCCTGGTCAGAA